TTCTACCTCAAATCAGCACTAGGAAAATCCGCCAAACATTGTGCTCCCTAAACGCAAACAAACCACCCGGTCCGGACGGTATTCCACCCATCGACCTTTAAGTGTGCTCCCGAGCTGGCCCCTGTTTTACGTCATCTTTTTCATCTTTCCCTCCAACTTTCTTCCTTTCCAATCCCTTGAAAACGCAGTGATTTTTCCCATTCCCAAACGCGGTGCTCCTTCTAACCCTAACAACCATCGACCCATTTCCCTCACATCTGTTCTTTCAAAAGTATTTGAATCTATCATTTCTGACCAGCTATGCACGTTCCTTGAACGCGAAGGATTACTGAGCGACCGCCAGTATGGCTTTCGACCGCGTCGCTCCACCGGCGACCTTCTGGTTCTTGTCTCTCAATCCTGGTCAGCTCCACTGGATAAACACGGTGAAACACACTTGGTCTCGCTTGACATCTCAAAGGCCTTCGACCGAGTTTGGCACGGTCTACTGACGAAACTACCCATGTTCGGGTTCCCTCCAGCGCTCGTAGCGTGGATATCAAGTTTCCTCAGTAAGTTAACCATCTCCGTCCGAGTTGATGGGTTTCTATCCCATCCATTCCCTGTGAACGCTAGTGTTCCTCAAGGTTCAGTACTTGTGCCCACCCTCTTCCTTCTCTTTATCAATGATCTACTTTCCCAAACTACTAACCCGATCCATTCTTTTTCTGATGACGCCACCCTCCACTGCTCTCTCCTACCGCACTGCTCGCCACGCCCAAACCAACATCGATGGTGACCGTAGCGCAGTTAATATGTCGCGGCAGTTCTTCTTCCTGCAACTTTTACCCGTCCATCCCGTACACAGGCATTTAGTCATCCTTATCAGGTTTCTGTTCCCAGATGTCGTACCTCTCTAATCCAATCTTCTTTTTTCCCCCAAATGCCAAACTGTGGAACACACACACACACACACACACATATATATATATATATATATATATATATATACATATATATATATTAAGTTCTGCGATCAACCTTATATTGCGATCTAATAGGTATGGAAATTCAGATATTGTGGTAAAAAAAAGTCCTAGGATAGATAAGCAGTTTCGGGATTAACGGATACTTGAAACTGTAGAAGTGCTGAGCGCCGAACGCAGTGTTCTAATATCAAGCAGTGGGCATCACAAACGAACGGTAGAGACCGTAAAAATCAAGCGCTGCAAGCCCCAGCTATGTTAGCAGAAGAATATCTGCATCCGTTGGGTATTGCGTGGTAACGACGTAAGAGTGAATTGATATTGTTAGACTATCCTGGCCTGCGATACAAACAATCTTGTTCTTAGCAGTGTAAGCATCAGCTGAGATACAGCGGAATGATTGCAGAATTCAATCGTGCTCAGGTTTTGTATTATTGTTTTACAGTGATTTCAAATTTTCTGATAGATGAAAATTACGTGAGCGTATTTTAATTCCGAGTTAACTAAACAGTAGGCCATCACAAATAATGGGAACAAGTAACGAAAGTAACTTGGCTCGCATCGATGCCGCTTATTTTGTTACAAATATCCCAAGCGGTTTTTTCACGCTACGTAAAAGAATAAAGTACTGAACAACGTGATGTCGCAGTTTCCGGGATCTAGTCACTTTTTAATCACTGAGTGGTGCTACATAGCAGGAGATTGGGGGTAAATCACATTTGATATTTGTAGGTAAAGTGGACTACGATGGCGCAATACAAAGAAAAAAGTTGGTTTGGTTTTGTAAATGATCTGAATCAGCTTATGGGTGACCGCTAACAGGTTTTCTTTGTTATTTGTAACGGTATGTATAGAGATCATTTTAGCGGTCACGTTCTCATTCGATATTCAGTGACGATACTTATAGAGAACGCGCATTAACGGAAGAGGTTCAGGACAGTGCGCCAGCAATCGACAGTGTGAGAGAGAAACAACGAAGCCACCTAGAAATATACCAGCCATGCAGTTAGAGATGCACAGTGCTTGCACGACACAAAGACAATATTAGAACACTCTCGGCGCAAATATTTGGGACCGATAGAAGAGAGTCTGATCATGGGTCCGTGCACACAAACGCAAAGTGGAATACTATTGATATACGTGCACTACTAATCCGTATTGCATCGCATTACCAACCTGCCTAACTAATTAGCTCTCGCCTTTTCATGTGCACATGCATCTACGTTTCTAAGTTGAAATGAGATAAGACATCTAACAGCTCATTTATAAAACAGTAACTTTCCCCATTCCAGTTACGACAAACAATAATTTAAATAGTCTATAGTACAGAGTCGTCATTGTTGGAGGGAAGTTGATCATGTTGTGACTTGTATATGAGCGTCAGATGACAGAACTTGGATATTGAGTTTGTAGAAAAACTAAATGATTGAAAGGATAAGTACCTCGTTTTCTCGTCACAATAGTATCACCTGGTATTAAAGAACAACAATGCTTAGGAAAAGACGCAAGTACTCCGGAGAAACTACAAAAGCTTCGAGTTACTGAATGGCATTATTGAAATATATATATATATATATATATATATATATATCCCCAATTGATGTACGCGTCACGGTTGTATAGATACATATCCAGTTTGTTTGCAGCTTGCAGAAGCACCAACGGAATTTCTACCCTTCAGGTACTGAACAATCAAAATAGCCTTTTTGAACATTTGTAACGGAATAAGATCTCTATCGAGCTAACTGCGATTGAAAAAGCGTAACGAAGACTGTTGAAATATACCATAAATTTTCATATTGGTTAAGAAAGTTGATAGAAAATTAAAACACCGAAATTTTTTTCAAAAATGCACTTTTCTGAGTATGGATTATGAATACGATAATGTTTGCCGCTTAAAATCATATAGTCTTAGTAAGATACCCCTCCACTACAAAACGTAAGCCAGGTGGATTAGACTAAGGTATGACATTTACAAGTGACTACTGTGCACTGGGTGTTTTTGTCAAATAAAGCTTTACGTAAATTGGTTGATTTTGAACTACTGGCTGTATCAGCGGTAGTGAAACTATGAACTCCACTTGGGCCGTCTGAGAATTCGACTACAAGATAGGCATGAATTCCTGATGTATCTGTATATACAGACATATTTGTGACTTCATACGTTGTATTTAGTTAGTTTATCTACCAATGACAAGAATATTGTTTGCTATCCTGTTTTCTTATGACTCATAATGTGGTCCTGTTGAGAATGATAAGTGTAAGGAAAATACACTGTAACTAGTCTCAGTATCTCTGCCATAAATATGAAATTAGAGATTAATACACGAATGCATCTACCGTTCGAAAACCTTGTGTATCTACCTCAATAAAGTTCTCCTCCTTTGTGGAATTATGAATAACTGCGAGTGATGCTTATTACCGCATGTGGCACTCACTGGATTATTATGAGGAGTTGCAACGGAATCACTTGGAGTTTAAGAGGCACAGTTGAATGCCTTGTAAACGCACGACTCCTTGAGTTGGACGATGTCTGATGATGAATCAGTTGTAAGTTGCATGTTAGCTGAGCATCGGTGAGAATATATTTATGAAATTAATGGAACCCGAATTCCTTTTTGAGCACTCAAACTAATCTTTTTTCCACGGAGTTTACTAACTTCGGTCGAAAATCATCGTGTACGCCGCCCTGCGACTGTGCACAAGATACGATACTAGCTTCAAATGCTTGGGCAAACTCGAACTGAATAAAAAAGCTCACCTGAAGGGAAGACGGGCGAGGAACTGGGACACCTTGTCTCCCATAGACCGGGGAGATTGCACCGGGAATATGCAGAGCGGCATCATCTGTGTCACCCATTGCTTGATTCAGGGCGGTTGGAGGTAGTGGAATGGGGGAACTTAATGAGCGTTCATGAGGATTTATAACGCCAGGTGAGGAACTGAAAATAAGTAGTAGTTGGGATCAGATTAGGAAAGGAACCAAACTACAAAGTTTCATCGGTAACCACGGTGAGACAAGTGTAACATGAGTTCAATTGATACAATAACTAACTAGGTCTAGTAGGTATTTACCGCTCTTCCTTCTCATCTTTCCCCGGATAATAAATTTCACACGACAAAGTTAATTGCAAAAAGTTCCGGTCATACACCGAAATTTCTAATGAAGCGAATCGAACAAGAAGCGACAGCTTAACTTTCTGATTTCTAGTCAGGTCGCTATGGTTGTATAACCTTAGAGATCGGAGATGGAGTGAAGATCTACTTCCGTGTGTTACGGGATGTAGTTAGTACTTAATAAAAGTAGCTCTCTGAGCTGGTGAGTCATCGTTACCCCGGGGCCTCTTCTATCTCTTTGGTTTCCATTATCGATCCAAATCTGAATCGCGGTTCCAGGAAGATGGGACATACATCAGTGGTAAAATTTAAGGTGGACAGGGACTGGATCTATTTTGAGGGAGGGAGATCTATCTTGAACTGTTTGATCTATTTCGAACACACGGTTATAATAACAGCGATGTAGGCATCGAATGAAATGTTTGCATACACCGTGCAAAGTGTAGTGTAAAAAAAATGGAGTGCAATATCACAACACATCGACAATGAGCATGCTATTCCGAATAAAATTTGCTTGATACGTAGCAGGTTTCAGATCAATTTGGAGGATGGCCACCGTCAACCCTAAACTGAAAGGTACTTGGTGGTGGAATTACTTTCGGAATTGAGACAAAACAGTCAGATAGTCATATAACTGTTCAGGTATTCAATATTCCAAACAACTATTTTTACCACCACACAAAACGAGGAGAGCTAAATTGAGGCATATGATACTCTTCTTTAACAAGTGCTATTAATTATACACCTATAAGCGTTTCGCATGGATTAAAATGGGTGAGTCAAAATTTCACATATGCGGGATTCACCTCAAAGCGGAATACGTCGAACGGCAGCGGTGGATCTACCTCAGAATCCTTAAAATATGAAATTTTTTCTACCCTTTAGGCCACTTTGAATGAAAAGCAGTTAAATCAAATAAGTGCCATTTCCCGCCCAACTTAAACTCCGAAATGGTGATTTGCGTTACCTGCTTAAACGAACGGAGACCCAATAAAAACGCACACAAGGCCGTATCATTATTAAAATGTTGTCAACAAGTCCCCCTACACTTGAAATCACTCGTTCCTACGTCAGGATTTTCATGAGGATGAAGACACTTACCTTGAGGAACGTAATTCACCTTCGCCTCGCTTGATGGGGCCGGTAAAAAATCCGCCTGAAGCGGAATCTGCGTACGCACTGTACGGACTACTACTGCCCCGCAAACCAGCAGAGGTTGGACGCGTCCCAGGGGTCAGTGTGGTCATAGAGGTGCGGTTAGTTGCATTGCTATTGCTTGCACCTGGACTGGTCCCAGATGCGGCAGCAGCCGCAGCAGCAGCAGCAGCGGCGGCAGCTCCCAGAGCGGTAGCCTCAGCCGGTGTCACACCCAAATCGGACGGGTTTAAACCACACAACCGAATGGCTGTGATCAGATTACGTGTGTTCACCCCGCAATGGGAAGCCACATTTCGTTCGCAGCGTTTGTGAATACTTAGACGACACACTTCACACTGCAAACCTTGCCGCATCAAACCGAACAGTAATGAGCCACAGTGGTCGCAAAATGCCGGTAGCATGAATGTATGGATACGGAATTTGTGTGGAACGTTGATATTGAACCGATTCTAACACAATTTGGAATAAAAAGATAAAACGAGAGGGAAATTAGATAGATTCATCATCGGCGAACGTGATGGTTTTCACTAAGCTGAATTAAACAAACCATACAGAAAAAAAAAGCGCGGCACAGTTAGGTGAAATTTGCAACACCCAATTTCAACCTTCAAGTTGGATCGTTAAACTGTAACAAAAGTGCTGATAAAAGCTACTATATCTGATTCCGTAACTACACACAAACACACACGTATGTGGATCGAAAACCATGTACATGGAATTCAAGATCGGTGATTCATGGATAAAGAGCAGGGCTTAAAACCTGCATATGAAACTGAAATCTAAGAGATAGACACAAAAAGAGAAGCAATAAATACTACACTAATCAAAGAGAACATAATCTACAGAAATAGCTAGGGAAGCGATGGGGATAATCAATGAACCGGCAACTAGCTTACAACAGCCAATTGAAGCTTGACAAAGTCGGCAGTGGTAGGTTAAGCTACATACAGAGAAGAAATCACATCTGACTGAAGTGATCGTAATTGAATTTAATCTGATCACTGCAGAATAGGATGAGTGGAAGCGTAAAAAGAGTTCGCGCGAAACACCAAATCAACTTGGAACCGCAAAACGAGATACCGGTGTGTCAAGACAGAATGGGAGGGTGAAAATAGCGAAAATAAAATCAACCAATAAACACATACACACACCATTTGTGTAAAGCATTAAAAACCGTACAAAAACATCCACATGAGTCAAAAGTCCGTAAACGCTCAAACGGGATAGGTGACTTGAGAACAAACGCATGGTTTAACGTTACGAGGCTAAATGAAAGCGGCATTTTTGTGAAGCGCGATCAATTAACTCACTGCCAAATCATGTTGCTCGGCTGAAAAGTGAAATTAGTTTTGACCACAATGGCTCATAATCACGGATGCTGGGATGGTTTCACACACGAAATAGTGATGATTATATCATCCAAACCGGATATCATATCAGCGAAGAGTTGAGTGCACAACTCATTTTAACGAGCGCAAGACTATTTGGAAAGCATTAGACTCGAGAACGCTATTGAACATTTTTGCGTTAATACAAACGATTAACGAATCACAGCTGCTGAATTCTATGGGTTCTTCATTTGTTTTGAATGCACACAAATGAAAACATTAAACAAAATCCGAACTCATTCAACAGAAATTGAGTTACGATTTTATTCCGCGAAATTGCTGGTTTTAACAAGGCGAACGGATTGATGAAAAGCTTATCAACCGGCTAGGAAACGGAATGAAACGACGGAGTCGTGGTAAAGTAACTTTAAATAAGTAAGCCTTCAGTTAATGAATTCACGTGATACGATGACCTGATAAACTGGTTTCCACGACAATGTACGCTGAGTCTATAGCCATCAGGTAAGCCGCTGAGTGCTGCGGTTCTTTCTGTCAACCATTATTGACTCCAGTTCCAGAGGACATATAAGATGACGAGGACAACAAATGACATCGCATCTTTTGAATGAAAGTATCAAACGGACGAAGATAGGGAGTAAATGAGAGAAGCGCAGATTTCACATACTAAATGGACCGGGTGGTTCTTAAACGGGGCATTTAACCACATCCAAGAAACACCTATATGGAGGGCTTTAGATAGGGCAAAATGATATGACACAGAGTAAGGGGTAAAGACAATACAGAATTCTCGGAGTGAAAAAACGCGATTTGGGAAACGAATACATCCATGAGGAATCAAATCCTTGTTACCAAATTAGGATGGTAGGTAAATCAGAAACCCAGAAGTTAGACTCCGGGTATCAAGTAGTTTAAAAATGAATACTATCTTAATTAGGNACAACGATCACACCATGAACTAGCCAAAAGGTATCGATAACTTGGCTAACCGATTGAGTTGAAAATTAGTACGCAGCGTGTGTACTGTAAATAACATAAGCTGTATTACACCTACAACGAATACAAAACCAGTCCTGTGGACGGAGAACATTAGAGATCGAGCTGGATAAACCATTTTGCATGTGCTGCTGATTGGAATAAAGTAATAGCGATCAACGAGAAAACGACCCATTTAGGTTGTTCCGCAAGGCTTGTGCAATACTTTCATGATTTGCAGAAAAATCAGTGACATCGTTATCTACGCTGTAGGCCTTCTAATTCTGAGATGTTATTTTTGCCAATAGGAAGTTTCAACCCGTCGTACTGCAAGATAAACAGGTAGCTGAGTTAACAGATTTTTCTCCTGAGATTCCATTCAACTGATTGCAGCTTACGAATTCCCAGCTTCAGGACGCTGTGCAGGCACCAGAGAGCGTACCTTACCATATTGTGGTTAAGTCAATCAATCAATGCATGGATTCGTCCGCTTACAGTCCTGATTTGAACGCTATTAAAGATGGTTGAGGTCATTTTGACGAGGTGGGTAGTTCTATGTGGCCGGAAATGGCCTCAGTGGTGTGCATCAGTTAAGGTGTGTTGTTCCTACTGAGTGAAACAAACTGAAATTGAAACCATTCAAAATCCAATTACGAGTATGGCTGAACGATGCCCTATGGACGTAAACAAAAAGGTCATCGCGTATGTCAACCAAGTGGATATTTCAATCACTGATTCGCAGGTGAGATTAATGATATTTTGCAACTCTCGGGCACATTAGGCAAGAAACATCGATTTCACTGCATAGGCGTGCATTTGAAGTGGATTACTGTTACGTTTTCTGACTGAATCAGAAGCTCATTTTCAAGTGTTGTTTTTAGAAAGTATGTGATACTGACAATAGTACTATTGAAAAGTTATTCATACAACTCCCAGAAAACCGCACATCGGCCTATCTGACCACCGATCCCGATCTCGTTGTAGTATACTCTGTGTTGGAATCAATTTGAATAGAAATTCTACAACTTCTTCCTTACTCGGTCTATGTAATTTAGAAAATTAAACAGAAACAAAGGAACAAGGAATTGCATGGAAATTCTTCAATGTGAAACGTTTTTTGCCTTTCTCGCTTTGAAGTTATCTGATTTCAATTTGTGTGACAAGTGCTTAAAGAAGTTTTGTTATCAAAACACAATGCAAGACCAAGGCGGTGGTCGACCAGCATTCCCAGCACTGCTTACCTGGCAATGACCATTGCAATATGCTAACCATCACCAGTAAGCCGATATTCGACCGTGTTTTTGCTTTTTCACACATTCACTCTATGGTCCTCCTGGTTAGTCCAGTGAAAAATAAGCCCTCATACGGACAAGAATCACTGAATGTTGCTTCAATTAAAAAACGTTTGTGTATACGAAATGTCTAAATTTTGTGCTCACGAACCTGGTACATGACCAGCCTCAGCTAACGATTGTGAAATTGGAGCATTAGGGATTGACAATATGCGCTATGCGAATATGTAGAACCATCAGTACATGCTTTACATCACAGATTGACGTTGATCGGGAGCCCTCCCTAGCGGAACAACTTTAAATTGCTATCGCCAGATAACAGATATGGGCATAAAGTTGCAATCGGTGGTTTTGGGCAAGTAGCTCAGCTAGTAGAGCGTGCGCGTACAAAGCGTAGACAGCGTCCATGCGTGGGTTTGAATCCCACCAAGGCTACTGAACTTTCCCCAATCGCCATACAAACTTCAAATCTGTCAAACAACAATTTGAAGTATGTAATTTACCGTTCATAAACAGTTTGACCGGATTTGGTCAGTCCGCAATGGTTACGACGGCTAGCAGTAGGGGTTAGATAAGGACACGGACCGTGAACGTCACATGTGAAAAGGAGTGCGTACGTCATCAGTCTGTCCGTGGTGTTAGTTACTGAAGTAAGCGGAATTCATTGTTATCATCTCGATTCGGATCATGGCACTGGAACAGGGGCGATTAGCGACATGGCTAAAACCAACTCGTCACTTCACCGTTGAATATTTCACCTTTATGTGATAGGGTCCGCGAACGAGACGAAGTACATATAATCACAGTTAGAGCAGCTCTCTGAAATTGACGAAACTAATTGTAAATTAATATCAGTTACGTTTAATTTGGCTAGCTGAAGGATCGGGTTGTGAATTCCCTAGGAAAATTCACCTGCTTTGGTCTGGGCAACCGGGCAGTACGCACCTACGAGCAAATCATGGACTTTTTATCATGATTTGTCTCAATTCAGAAGTGTGTAAAAATATAAATATAATATACCCAGAGGAAAATCAATCTGAAATGATGGATATGTGAAAGGAGCTCTTCATACAACACTTCGTTATACTACCTAATGCTATGATAAATTGATTGGGACAAGTGAAATTTGACCATTTCGGCAAGATATGGAATAGACATTATTCTTCACCAAGCCCCTGCTCTAGCCCAGGGTATTTTGAACCACAAGAATCCTTATCTGAATTATTGCGTCACACTTTCCATACATCCAAATTTGTAAAAGTCAACTATGTATGTCTCTATCTGAACACAAAAATCCACATCAAAACTTGGCATCATCCATCTGGTCGCCTCATCAAAAATCGTAGAGTGAGACAACAGCACCACGTTGCGGGATTAACCGAATACCTGCCTTATTCTTCGGCACTTGGTGGACAAACAGAATTTATGTCGGCGCCGAGGATCAAAAACAAAAATGAAATTTCTGTGCACTAAGTGACATCATCAGTGAAGCTTTCTATCCCGCTCCAAAGAAACAAAAGACAATTGTGGCAAAATTAACGCAAAAACGTGTCGCCATCGCACTTCGAAGCTGCAGAGCGTGCACCAGTTAGCACTACAACAACTTGTTTTGTTATTGTAATAGTACCCACTACCCCAACCTTCATTCGTAGCACAGTACCGTCTGCACATTGCCGATTAAACACTCGGGTGAAGTTAACGTTAATTTTCTCGCAAAAAGAATGAGACAATAATCAGAATTATGCAAACTACAAAGGTAACAAGGAAGGTAAACCAAACGTCACTCCGAAAAACACTAACAATCGCGGTAGCTTTGAATGAACAGTAGTCACAAACAACAGCTCAAACTCAACCACTGGCACATAAGTGTGACAAGCGAAAATTATCGATAAAACGTCCCATGTGAGATAGCATTTGATAACACTGACTTTTCCTTCCGGCCGAGTCAGAACGCTGGAGGCTAAAGCTGAGATGAGTGAGGTTGTAAGCTGCTTAAACGATATTGCGCACAAGCAAAGTGAAAGAGCATCGTTACTTTACTTTAAGGTGACTTTTTCAAACGTGAAGATAGGTAGCTTCATAGATTCATTCACGAATAAGCTTGCGGATCAAGTACACATTGGTATCCACAGGATCACAGTCCTTTTTGTTGGCAATGCAACGATAGCTTGTATTGTTTTTAGGGCAACGTGTCGAGAACGGCGCACACCACGGAGCTTTCAATGACATTTGTGGCTTTTTGTTGCCCAGAGATCACTTGTCAAGTCTGAAGGTATCGCCACAACGTTTTATTGAATGGAGCAGTCCTCACAGTTGACCACCTAAGAGGCCTTTTTCCTAGTTGCGACCGTTGTAGCTTATCGCATCCGAGAAATTGTAACTGTTCGATGGCCAAGTGTGTAGTATGTTTGAGTTCTCCCTGTGAGGTACTCCATTCGATCCTCAGTTGGATCGATAAATTCGCACAACTGAAGAGACCCAACAAGGTTGAAACAGTAATGCACTGCTTCTAAGTTTTTCAGTTCACATTTTCGTTGTTCCGTATATGAGGTTTATCGCGTACTTGGTTTAAGCCCGAAACCTAGAAGATAGAGGATGCCACATAAAGGCTTTATAAACCTAAACTTAACCGAACGGTCATGGAAGAAAACACTGCTTTCATGTGGATCGGTTAAGGACATTCAGAAACGGGTTATGATCTGCTCATTGTGGCAGTTCTCTGGGTGGCGACTGCGAAGTAAATAAAATGTCAAGAATTTTTATTTGTGAGTACTAATCTTGGGTCCGTTCTATCAGATAAAAGGAAAGAACACTGAAAACAAAGACTTCAATCAAGCTCTTTCAACTGCACTTGATGCGCCTCTTCCTCATTATTAACATAACAAGACAAAACAAAACGCCCAGAAGAGAATTCAGTGTCAAAAAAATCCAATCTGACTTGTTTTTGATTTTCATGATAATTGCTTTTTGTGGATTCAGTAAGCTTTCGAATAATCGATTGATGGGAGAAATGTGATTCACATACGAGGAATATGATCGGAGAGAAAACCTCATAGTAAAAGAACAACAGAATTGCTCACACGCGCCAGACAAGTCTATCGTGCATCATCCAGCTGACTGAGTGAATCCAACAGGGTACGTTGTATGCCATTTCGAAAGGTACTGGCCTGAATACCCTTGGTGGATAATAGGACTATTTTCGTTGACGAACATGGGATACTGATGTGTGTGGTCGTATAGGCAACACGTCGGTCTTAACCATCAGTGATTAAAAGTAAACAACCGATTACATTTTCAGATTACAAAAACGATCTACGTATATGCTCTCTTCCAATTGTCACTATCCAATGACAGCATTTAAAACCCGAAAATCTCATTTCCTTCACTGAAGCGCACGTAGATTGCATAATAAAAGATTTTTCAACTCAATCGCGGATCAAATAACTATGACGGAACCAATAAGTAAGCTGACACACTTACCTGCAATACAGCAGTAGGGCCAGAAGGTGATTTGACTCCCGGGCATTGCGTTATTACATTCAAATAGCATCGTTTATGCACAACGCATGTGCAAACTTGACACTGGTAGCCTTGATTCCAAAGACCCCAAATGAAGCTGTTGCATAATGAACAAAACGTGAATTGGCGCAAGCTGGTAACCTATATTGCAGAATTAGTATCATGATACGATCAAAAAATGAACAAACCTGAAATTTATGTCCTTTCGCTTGGTGAATGCGTCGTCGCATGGCACCACATCGATAATGTTTTCCATGCACTCCACCAATGGCACTATCTCGACCTGGAAATCCCATACGATCACGCGGGGGCTCATCAGTTCGAGTTCCAGCAAGATCGATACGGATATGGAGCTTGCCTTGGGGTTCAAGCTCCAGCCACACTTCCTCACCAGATCGGACATTTCTAATAGCTAATTCGACAATAGCTACGAAATCATCGGGCGGAATGGCAGCATCATGATAGACTGTGAACGTGAGTCGCTGGGCGGAATTGACTTCGGCACAAACATCTTCTTTCCACTGGGGAGTATTTGTGCGGGACTTGGTCGAACTCTTGCCGATAGCTATGTCATCCACATCGATTGTGACGTAGGGATCTAAAAGTTCACATAGTTTGGCCGCTGGTCTGATGGAGTGACGGGTTGCACAGGCAGTAGGCTTTAATTCAGCTGCTTCAAATATGCGGACATTCAGAGTTCCGGAAAAATATTCC